GGTTACGCACCTCTAGATTATATTTCTGAACATTGTTTTACTTCCCGAAGAAATTAATCTGTGATTACTGTACGTGACAGTATCGTCTAATGAAGAGCAATTCTTCCAGAATCCCCCCTGCAATCTTCTGAACGTTACTATTATTGCTAATATGGCGATATGTGCATCCAGCCTGAAGTATATATACAAATAAGCAACGCAAACATTAACAGAGCTAAAAAAAGATCTCGCTTGTGCTTCAGGATTCACTGAATTTACTGAATATATGAGTTTTTTTGTAGTTTATAAAAAGGGTATTGACGCATGCGTATGCGGCATTCATACTCAAATTTTTGCGGCTGTTAACACAGACCTTTTGGCATCTAGAAATTGATTTGTGTTTGACATGCACGTGAATGTATTGTTTCTTTGCGCATTAAAGTTTATGGCAGAAAAAGATACCATAGTAATTCCATTAGTATAATCTGACAGGAAGTGCCTGACGATGTAGATGTTTTCTATTCATAAATGCTTCCAGTTATTCTGTGATAACCCGGCCATGAATTTAAAATCTATATTTTTATGGTTACAACATTAGATACCCCAGGTTTAAATACTGTCCCGACTTCAGCTTTTCAATATGGTAAATAATAAAGTAAAAGTTTAATTTCTATTTCAGCTGCATAACTGCTGCATATATTTGTTCCGAATCGTAGGGCAACGGTAGCAGCTATAAAAACTCCGCTTAAGTTATTTTGGTGGCTTTCTAATGTTTTTTTTCCAAGGTGTTCTTTTCTTCAAATTATCCCACTTACTCTGACACCACTCTTTGCTATTGCTATGTACAGCTAGCGTGTACAACTAAATCACTCTAAAAATTTGAACGTGACTGAATGTGTAAGCCTTTCCCTTTACTTAAATGGTGTCAGTAACTGGTGACTGACAATACTTTTACTGACAGTTTCCAGCTTATCGCATGGCCGAGGTTGCCGACCTCTACTATGGAATCGCGGCACCCTTCAAGGCGATTTCTAAACACAACAAAAAGCATGCGCAGCAGATGCAGTCGTGTTTCGAGAAGGCGGTTAAACGGGGTTTCGTTTCGCCCTCCGTTCGTCGCACAGTGCCCTCCGGCAACTTGCCCCAGCCTTCCCCAGAAGCGCCCGATGATCCGTTTGAATCGGAATTGGAGCACCATCTGGTTGGTATGCTGGGTGAAGAGCAGGCTAAACGTCTGCTCAGTGGAGTGAAGCGCGGACGCCCACCTTCCCTGTTCTCCAGGAAGAACCTCTTGTTCAGCGACACGATGTGGTCCCACAGCAACAACCACAACAACCAGACGAAGTCGGGTAACTCGAATGGCACTGATGG